GTGGGGTCCTGCTTTATTTTTTTCTTTTTTAAATTTCAATTGTTCTCGATACAAGAATAACTATGTCACATTACAGGTCAATCATAATTATGTATCGATTTCATAATTTTTAATTGTACTACGTACTTGCTCTCCAACTAACGTTCTCATCAATCTTCAGCTCGCCGTTATCCTCATCGGCGATGAAGAGGTGAACTTGTCGGAAGTTATCATATCATGGCATCAAAGTGGTCGGAGGTAATCATCTCATCGCATATTTGCATCTCGACTGCATCCTCATCAGTGGTAGAAATGCAATGGGAAAAATTGTTGGATGTGATCATATAGTCGTAGACGATTACATAAGAATATCGCTAGACCGTACTATGGCATCGTTACCGCTGTCATCCTTATTAGTGGTATAAATGCAATAGGCAAACTTGTCGGATGTGATCATATTGTCGTATATGATTATCTAAAAATATCGTTAGATTATAATACGAGACGTCGTGAGATCTACATTTCACTAAAAAAACAAAAAAAAAAAAACAAAACTCAGGTAAATCGTGGGCCCCACTGTGGAGCCGGGTCCAACATTCAGGCGTAACTTTTAGGCTTTAGTAAAAAAGTGGGCTCCACAGCGATGAAATATCCAAGAAAGAAATGGGAAACAAAATCATTATTCTTTGTATGAGTGGATTTTAATATTTTGCTTTTCTTAACAGCTTACATCTTTTCCGAGTTGACACAACAAATAAGAAAGCAAAAAAAATGCTCTTTCTGCCCAAAAAAGTTACCCTATCTTACTATTTACTACATCACATCTTTATCCTCGAGGTAATATTTAGTAACGGGTGTTAATCTTGGTCACCCTATTGCCTATTGATTGCGTAGCTTTTGAATAAAATGTAAACGAGAGAATCTACTGTACCATTGAAATTATTTATCTTTTTTGTTTGTAGTACCCATCGTATGAGTCAGTTGACAAAACGTGATGTAAAACTTAATATCAAAGTAGATCTTATCGTGTAACACATCTCTTACCACAATTTGAAGTAGATGTGATCTTTACGGAACATAAGGTTGGCAATGCTTTGGTCTCATAATCGACTCATCATATAAGTTAGTCTACAAAATGTGACATAAAACTTAGCATCAAAGTAGATCTTATCGTTAACACATTTCTTACTACAATTCTAAAGCAGATGTCATCTTTATGAAACATAAGGTTGATAATGCTTTGGTCTCACATTAGATCAACAGTTAGGAATTGGCACTCTTTAGTCTACGATTACTTCAAACACGAAAGGTTTTTTTAGTGTCATTAACTATATATACTTATAAACAATGGTGGATTTAGGATTTGAATCTTGGAGTGTCTCAAGGTTAAATACAAGTTTTTAGATAGAAATAGAACACGAAGCACACAAATTTTTTAATCCAGTTTATTAACAGAGACATTTTGGCGAACACTTGGTGGGCTCATTGTTGTCAATCAAATCATGTTGCACATATGTCAACTGATATTGATATATACCGAAACAATCTATTGAATAATATAGAGAGAACTTGTCGAGTAATGCCTATGAAACCTATCAAGATATGACTAGTATGCATTACATCAAATACTTGATAAGCACAGAAAAGACCCGTACCAAACATCCGCCCTTGCCTATAAATCTTGCTCTTCGCTTATAGTGATCGTTTCAAACACGATTGTAATTGATGAGAGATGTTGACATAGATTTTTTCCCCCAAGCATAACTCCCATCGTTCAATGATATGGAAGGAGTAGGTAGCAACACGTAAATGTAGCACACGCGAGGCGTCGTCCAAAATGTAGTGATGGATAACGAACCGATTGAGATGTCTTGATCAATGGGGGTAAAACTTGAGAGAGAAGAGATGATCCCACAACGATTGCTATCAAACAAGTTTAAGTCACTTTCACCATTGCCAAGCCCCACTAACATGTCTTCAAACAAGATGACGTTGTCAGTCAATTATTTTTTGGACATGGCTTCTTAGCCCTTCCAATTCTCATACATTCTCATCCTCTCCTATTTATACGGTCACGGTTAAGTCACGTCAACATTAAATATTACTATTGACTTTTGTCTTATTATCTCTATAAAAAAATCAATATAAAATGTTGACGTGACTTAACCATGACCGTACAAAATAGGAGAGAATAAGAATTTATAGGAACTGAGAGAACAGAGAAGTCGGGTGCTTATTTTTTTTGGTAACCCTCAGTTCCAGAGAGAGAAAGAAAGAAAGAAAAATGCAATACATAATTGATCTATTGACATTGCTCAATTCCTCAAGGCAATGATATTCTTTTCATGCGTAAGATAGGATTGTATTGTCGGCACCAAGGAAAATTTATATTATATTTTACACGCTTATTCAATTCAGAATATGAGGGATTTCAATTAATTAATAAATTCATGGATTTTTAAAGAGTTTAACTGATTTGTAGCGATTTCATGTAAAATTTTGACTTCATTTTCTCGAAATCTCATGAGGAGATGTGAGATTTGTGGATGCTTAAATTACATTACGAAATCTCTCTAATTCTCTCTAATTCCTCAACTTTTTCAAATTCTCTAAAATCAAATTATAATTGAATACACTTGGAATCTTATAAATTTCTTTAAAATCTTAATTGAATACACCCAAATTTCTAAAGATTTTAATAAAGTATTTTAAAATCCTAATTGAATACACATTGAATTTCAGAGAATCACTTAAAATCCTAATTGAATACCCCTAAATTCATTAAAAGAATTAAAATCTTTCAAAATCTCAATTGAATACACATCTTTAGCTAATTTATAGAGTTTCAGATTTCGTATATTGCATCGTTGCATTTATAAAATTATTTCAATTTATGCCTTTTATAATTTGATTGTATGATCATATGTGAGATTGTTAATGTGATAGATGTACGACCCGTTTATGTAAATTACTTTAATTTATGAATTGTATCAATTTATCGATGACCAGACAATCAAACAATCAAATGACATGAAGTGAGTGATTTTAAAATCTGACGGTGCAGTGCTAGAAAATTAAAACCTTGATAAACTTAAAAGGAGGACAATATAGTTACGCAAAAAGAAAAAAAAAAAAAGTTATTGGATTAAGTAGATAATTAATTTACTAAGACATGATTATGTGATCCCTTCTGGTGTCTTCCATTTGTTTTTAGGTGATGATTTGTCGTTACCATGTGGAAGGTGAGAAATGACAGAGGGCAATGAAGTGGAAAAATGGGGTACAAATTTGTTGTAAGATTCCACATCGTTCGGGAGAGAAGAAATGATGTGCTTTATATGTACATACCCAACTCCTTATAGTAAGATGCGTTTTGGGTGGAAATCCAAGAACAAATCCATGAGGATGTGGCCAAAGCGAACAATATCTTACTATGTAGATTGGGATGTGACATTTGTCTTTTAATGGCGTTATGCATTAGGATAATCACCTTTGATTAATTAAGATAATCAACTTTCTGCGTAAGGATATGCTTGTGGGGTTTATTAAGATGATAATTACAAAATGTTCATAACACCCGGTGGATACAAGCAGACATTTCCCGTACGGATTTGTCTCTGTATTATGATTGTGAAGACCTAATTAGGTGTCGAAATGCACCACCACTTAACTAAACCGTCTAAGGATAAGAGACTATTTCCTAATCCGAAGAGATAATCACTAACCTAATTGCTAGTTATAAAGAGAAACTTGCATGTCACGCATAAAATAGAGACATATACAAGGGTTATGACACCACTTCGTAACGGAAAAGTTAATTTCTTTTGCATCGTAATCACCTTCAAAATAAATTTTTATTTTTTTATCTTTTTATTTTTTGCAAAAGAGAATCAGCTTATGCCTTCGCAAAGCTAGCCCATCTTTCTGGAGGCGGATAAGGCTCACAGAGGCATTTTAGCATTCCCTGACCATTATCATGTAATTCACCAGCGTCATGAATCAAATACAAGAGATGCCTTGTGGAACACAGACTTGAAGGGGACACCCCGTAGTGGTGCAAAATCATGATGTTTATGCAAAGAAACGTGCAGGTCACACATGAAGATAAATTTGTCTTTTAATGGCGTTATGCATTAGGATAATCACCTTTGATTAATTAAGATAATCAACTTTCTGCGTAAGGATATGCTTGTGGGGTTTATTAAGATGATAATTACAAAATGTTCATAACACCCGGTGGATACAAGCAGACATTTCCCGTACGGATTTGTCTCTGTATTATGATTGTGAAGACCTAATTAGGTGTCGAAATGCACCACCACTTAACTAAACCGTCTAAGGATAAGAGACTATTTCCTAATCCGAAGAGATAATCACTAACCTAATTGCTAGTTATAAAGAGAAACTTGCATGTCACTCACAAAATAGAGACATATACAAGGGCTATGACACCACTTCGTAACGGAAAAGTTAATTTCTTTTGCATCGTAATCACCTTCAAAATAAATTTTTATTTTTTATCCTTTTATTTTTTGCAAAAGAGAATCAGCTTATACCTTCGCAAAGCTAGTCCATCTTTTTGGAGGCGGATAAGGCTCACAGAGGCATTTTAGCATTCCATGATCATTATCATGTGATTCACCAGCATCATGAATCAAATACAAGAGATGCCTTGTGAACACAGACTTGAAAGGGACACCCCGTAGTGGTGCAAAATCATGATGTTTATGTAAAGAAACGTGCAGGTCACACATGAAGATAATAATTCGTTCATTTCCTGACGTTGGTCCATATTCTAGTATTTTGCAGGTAGTAGGCTGTACCACGGGATCTACTGTACTGCAGACAAAATTTAAGGCATAGGAACTGTTCAAGAAAACTTTGGGGTCCCCAATCACATCATGTGTGAGTTTACTTTCACAAAACCCCCGTGTTCGGTTTCTACGATCCACATTGGTTTCAAAGGGAGTAAATGCAGCCTACCGAAAATTCTCTCTAAAACACGACCAAGTAACAATTACTGAAGGTGCAAAAGCAATCACTTGAATACAAACCTACTCAAAATTATTGTCTACTCAAGTTGATTGCAACTTGCAAAGGTACAGATTTTCTAATATCTCAAAACAAAACAATCATTTTCTTACAAAGATACGGAAAAACAATTACTAGGGTTACAAGCTAAAGAGTAATACGAGTAGTTCACATTAGGGCTTCTCAAAACCGGTTTCCGGAGGAGCTTTTGACGTTTTAGGAATCCCATCACTGCTTGAGTTTCTTATCATTTCTGGTTCTCTTTCTAAACTCTCGTTTCTCCGTTGAGTACTGCTTTTTTATTAACAAATTGCTCATGGATGTTTTCAAAGCCTCAGCAGCTGTCAAGAAAAAGTTTTCGTCAAAGGACACTCTTCCCTGCAACTTCTCGAGCAATTTCTCACCTCCGGGGATCTCATTGTCTTTCAAAACAATTGATCCGTGCTCAACTGAATCAGGAGTGCTGTCCTTAAAGCCAGAGATAACCTTGACACGGGCCACACAAGGGTATTGAGAATCAGGCAATTTAGAGGCACCGGTTACCATCCACAATAATCCTGACGATGAGCTAGTTCCCAAACTTGTAGGAATAAAGGCATCTCCCTCGATAGAAACCACCTGTTCGAATCACACCAAATACAAATGTCTACTTTATGTGCGTGTCTTGATATAGATCTTCAGCAATTTAGCTCCAAGGAGCTATATTTCATGCTAATTAATTAGGTAATTAAGACTTAGGATAAAAGGGTTAACAGGAAGGACAAATGATCAAAATCAATGGTAATGTTAGGCAAGACGAAAAGCGTCTAAAGAAGACAAATTTTTGTGAATGAATTCAACTACAGCTGCTTGATAAGAGGTCAACGTGTAGTTTTATACGGATGCATTCTTACAGTTCAAATTACTTGACTAATCGAGGTCCTTACCTTGGCCACATGGAGTGTTTGGGCAGAAAGATCACAGCTCAACAATATTATTCCTTGCAAACTACAATGGAATACCAAATGAGGATCAAGACAATGAAATAAACAGACAACCGCACAACGAAAAAAGAGACAAAATCCAACAGATAGGAACTTGCCTTTGAACAGCCACTGCAACAAGGGTGCTATCTGGGATGGTGCACAAATTGGTAACGGCCCCATAGCACTCTTCTATTCCTTTGGATTCTAAAAGTCCTGCCTTCAGAATGAAATCAGGTAAATAGCATGCCAACAGAAAATTACAAAACTATCGTACTGCTGGTAAGTATCAGCTAGAGAAATAGGAAAATTTTAGAACAAAGAGGAAAATGGGAATCCCGGAAACTTAGAACTATTGAAGTACCTTTTCCCTAATATCACAAGTGTTTAGGAGAGATCCCGAAGAAATATCCCATAGACGAACCTGAAAACTCAACGTGGATCAATTACTCTACTGTACACAAGATGCATGCAGAAGAAATTCAAAGACCAAGTGTTACTATGATTACTTACTGTCGAATCACCACTTCCAGAGACAAGAAACCCCTGGAGGCATTCCTGAGTGCAAACAAAGGCAAGGCATGAAACAAACCTGCCAATAGATGCACAAAAGTGAAGATAAGTGAACATTTAGTTGCAAGAAGATTTCCAAAACATGTTTTATGTCGAATTGCTAACTTAATAAGAAACACCAAGGCCTGTCTATTTAAATTTGAGTTCACCGCATGTTTTGTGCATATCGCGTTGAGGTTTAAAGGAAATCCCTGACTAAGAACATAGCAAGTACAATTGTTTGCATAAAGCTTCTTCATTATCTATATAGTTTGTCTGCTGTCTTATAACAGAATAAATAGCCACCCACTCTATATGACCAAGGGAGAAACTTTGTATCTCGTGAGCTCCATCTAAAGGCTTCTTGGGAAACACTGTAACCTGCCAGAAGAAAAATCATGTAAACTATTTGCAAATGTAGCTATCAGATTACTGAAAGGGTTGTAATGCTGGATTACTCGAATTTTGAAATCCCGGTCAGCACTAACAAAAAACCGTCCATCTGGTGAAAATTCCTGTCAAAATTACAATGTTAATTACTACTCATCTCATGAATATCTGGTGGTCATAGAAACAATGTCCACCTACAATATAAGAAGAACCATTAGTATTTATGCGAGAGTAAGAAACAAATAAATCCCGAGCAGCAGAAAATAAATCACCAGGCTTGTTATGATGCTACAATAGTGAGAAAGCAGTGGTGCTGCCTTCTTATTAACGGAAGCTTGATTTCCATCAGACACATCCACATCCACAACCCAAACAACCCCAAACTTGTCAGCAAAACAAACATAGGAACCGTCACTGCTTATGGCAACTGCACTCACTCTTTTCTCCGAGCACCTATATCGAAGATAAGTGGAAATAATATCGAATGATTTCGATGATATGATCCTCAAAATGACTCATAAGAGTACCAATATCACGGGAGTTTCAATAACTTACACAGTGGTAATGCAGCGCCAAGATTCAGTCGACCATATCTTGACGGTTTTATCATCACCAGCCGACACAAATAGCTTCCCGTCTGCTCCGTAGCGAATGGCTCTTATCGAATCCTTATGAAGGGAACTACCAGAATCATCTACCAAAGAAACCGCACAACCCCCACTGTCACACAAACATTAAGCAGTTATTTTGCTAAAATTGATTAATTTCCTCATAAAATCACATAAAAACAGCTAATTTAGTATTAAATTACAACGGGAAACTGAATTTACAACTTCCAATTTTCCTGACAAATTACTCAAATCCAAACAGAGCATAAAGTTCAAAACTTGACCAAAATTGACACTCTGTTCTACATGTACAATTGAAAATACAAAGAGACCGACGCCGTTTCAATCTTCAGGGGCTCACAGTTGAATCGTATTGCAGTTCAATGGGGCCAATTTTTAGAATCCAAAGGAACAATGCACAGAGACAAGGGGAAATAGCTTACAGGAGGTCGAAGACACGGAGGTCCGACCCAACTGCGACTGCGACGGAGCTCTGGGTGGGGTGGACGGCAATTAAGGCTGGGGCCACCTCAGAATCCTTGTTGGTCTCACCGTTTTCCATCGGCGTGTCCTCCATTGTTGCTCAGAGACGGCTCTGGTTGGCGCTCGTCCTCTTCAGGGTTTTGAGTTTTGACACCAAAATTGGGGTTTATCTTTTGGGTTTGTAGAAAGCCCATCTAATTGTATTTGGGCCCAATGGCCCATTAAAATAAAGGGTTTGAAGTAGTGATTGAAACTACGAATTTGTTACAATTACATTATTTCTAAAAGGTTGAAAGTGTTTTCTAATAACCAAAAGTATTTCCAATAAACGGTCACAATTAGATAATTTCTGAAAGGTTAAAAGTGTTTTCTAATAACCAAAAGTATTTCCGATAAGCGGTTTTAGAGAAGCAAATGAAGTTTTGATTGATTATGTTCACATTTTTAATAATAAAAGCAACAAAAGAAACTTTAGTAGGACAACTGCTCTGGTGTGGAAGAAATTTTTAGTATGCTAGAAACACGGCCCTTAGTACACTTAGTATCAAATACAATTGGTTAAGAACTTTTTTTTTCAAGTTTTCAACTAATTGTACTATTACACTTGATATACCAAGCTGTGTTCCCAACACACTGAAAAGTCTCTCCTGACATGAAGCGAGATCGATGTGGAGTCAGACAAGCCTATAATTACAATCCCTTCGTGCTTATGTAAGAGGTGGTCTACTAATGAAGCGGTTAAAATGTCTCTACCCCTATTTTTCTCGTTTTTGTAGTACAACTTAACGTCCTCGGTTCGATTGGCATCACATTGGATCAGCGTATCATAATTATATAATCAAACAAACTAGGAAATTGGATTGATTTGATTTTTTTTCCGAATATATAGATCACATTCTATAAATGACTTGTTGAACAACATAGGTTTCCCCATCAAATAAACATGAATGAAAGAAATTTATATAAGAAGCAGAGACATACAAGAAGATTCTAAAAGAAGAAGAAAACAAGTGCTTGGTCCATGAGATCGTTCGTTCATATAATTCTTGAACCACTGAACTGTTGCCTCTTCCGCCGGCGCTTCGGCCTAACTTCGGATATAAGAGTTCCGAGGGGAGCACAAGCCGATGATCGTAACGTGACACAAGGCCGACCGACGATAACATAAGGGCAGCAGGCATAAGGCCAATTCCTTCTAGCAGGAATGAAACAACAAAAAGGCAGCTGGCATTACGCCAATTCCTTCTAGCAGGAACGAAAACACAACAACAAACGGCGACCAGAACAAATGAAACCTAAATTCTCAACTGCGCACAACCATAAACGCTTCCTTTGCACCGTGTCATCGGAGCAGCCTGGCGCCAAGTTGGCCTTTCACCTCCGATCGTGAGAACATCAACGTCTGATATTTGCTTGATTTCCGAGGTCCCATGTTCAGAGAGAATCACCCCACCAATCACATAAATTTCATCTCCTAGTCCAGCCATTGCAAACCCAACTCTGCCACCGAACTCAGAAGCCGAAACCAATACCTTTGATGATTCTCTGTCTTGCCTGGAGATTACTCCATGGCTCATCACATAGAGTGCATCCTTAATGACTGTCATTGGACCCTGTTGCCAACCATAATCCTCTACCGTCCAATGAAGCCCAACATTGTCGAAGACTTGCACCGTTGATAAACCCCTGTGCAAGACATACATCTTTTCTCCAATCACTATCCCCGAGCATACTGAATTATGAGATAAATGCAGATCAGGAATTGGAGCCCACAAATCTTTGTTAGGGTCATACATTTCTGCTAGAGAGATTGATTTCCGGCAGCTGGTTAAGCCCCCTGCAACAACAATCTTTCCACCTAAAACACAGCATGCAAACATTGCACGAGGAACAAGCATAGATGCACGTGGGGCCCATTGCCTAGTTACAGGATCGTATGACCAAACCTCACTGGTTGAAAAGGTACCATGGTCACCAGTCTGTGGGTCAACAGCATCACTGCCACCACCAAGAACAAACAGCTTTCCAGCAGTAAAGACAGTGCCGAAGTTGGAAAGGTTTTTTATTTTAGAGGGGAGAACAGGAAGCGTAATCCAAAGGTCTCGACGAGGGTCATATAGTTGCCATAGATTATCTGGTTCATTAGCAGACACACATAATAGATCCTCACATGAGCCAACTTCCTGTCGAACTCTAAAAAGTTCAGTGCTATGAATGGCAGCTTGCCAAGAACGAGAAACAAGCTCCAACTTGGGATGGAGATAGAAGGGAACCCATGCAAGGCACCTAAGGGCAACAGCGTCAGGGAGACCTTCTATCAGTTGTTCAGACATAATAATCACAGTTCATCTGTTTCAGTTGATCCTTCACTGCTGACTGTTGCCACGCTAGGGCAGCACCGCAAAACAACCTGAAACATCAAAATATGAGGTTATGCCGAGAAGAGAATATTGATTTCGAATTTTCAAAATCAAAGTTTCAATGACAGTGTATTAAGATCAAAGAAGGTGCACGATAAAGGTCACTGTATTTTCTATCAAACTTCATAAGTAATCCGCAAATAAATGCCACAAATTGCAACAAAAACTTCTAACAAAACCTCAAAATGAATATCACCTTGTCAATTGTGTTGCAAATTTCAACGCCCTTATGTGCATGTACAGCTATGAAAGACAATAACAGTGTAACATAATCTCAAAAAGTGAAATGGGTTTGATTCTCAATCACCAACGTTATCATCGAGCCCCAAAATAAAAGAAAAAAAAATGTCATCATTTACTAAAAGCATCTATCATCCTCATGATACTGCTAAAACATCCTCAATGACCTTTACATTTGTATCCTGCAGTGCATAAATGACAGCATGAAGACCATAAAACGTTTGTTAAGTTTCAAAATGTCGAAACATAATGTACTTCATTCAAACGCACACTATCATGTAAATTAAATGTTGTAGATATGGAAAACAAAATAATATAAGGTAAAACAAATTCTGCACAAATCATGATAAGAAAACAAATGCCAACATCAGAAATCTTAGCCACTGAGATTTGTTACCGTGCTGATATTGTGATATAGCAAAAAATAGCTGAATGAGAGTATGACTGCTCTCCGTTACTTACCAGTTTTAGCGCGACGTAAGCAAAACAATTCTCTTCTCTATGCAGAAATTCCTACAAAAACAAAGAGAAAGTTAAAAAATTTGAACTTTGAGATATAATAGCTTGTATAAACGATGTTCAAAACAAGAAATCTAACAAGTAATAAAAGATATCTCACAGTACAAGACTACTCACATTCTAACACATTAGCTTTCAACTAAACTAGTTGTCGGTCCGAAAATTCTTGAGCATTCAAGCATACACCACTGTCAGCTATGGCATAACTATTTGGATTAAGGTGGATTGACACACTAAACGAAAAGGCATCGGTTCAAAACCCATTAACTTTGTAAGAGACCTTTGTTATCAATTCCAAATGAGAAACTAAAATGCTCAAACAAGAAATGAGGCAATAGGTAATTAAAAAAATCCAACAGACTCCACCATTTAAGCATGATCCAGGCCTCATGCAACAAAATTGGTATGAACTCACATGCTAATACCTATGCAACAAAAGCATGAAACTTTTGTTTCAACATTCAACCCAAAAAACAGAACCAATCAAATTCGTTCACCAATTGATGCACAAAGCACACGACTTTGAAATTCAATCCCTACTATTACACTAAAATTCTTGACCTTTAACACGAAACCCACCTCCAATTCCACATAACAAAAACTGGGCAATCAATAATTTCAACTCCAACTAAAAATCTATCACAATTCACCAAAAATTATGGTAAAAATTTCTAATCACAACTGAAACAACTCTAATCACATATCAAAATTTGTTTTTCCTTGCCCATGAGAGAGAGGGAGAAAGATAGAGAGAGAGAGAGAGAGAGTGGATGTACCTGTAATACGGGGACCGGGTGAAGAACACAAAGATTTGTGCTTTGCTGCTCAAATTCCTAGAGAGAGAGAGAGAGAGAGAGAGAGAGAGAGGGTAGCGTTTGGTTTTCTAGGCTGAGAGGATGACTTTTAAGAGCTCAGGGAAAACGCCGACTTACAAAGTCCAATGTTATTTGTGCGTGCTGTTTGCTTGTAAGGTAACGCGAGATAATTCGATCGTTACAGCGACGGATTGGAAAATTGGGGAACTTCTTGGGATTTTCCTCTTTCACTTAACCCTAATAACTTAATAAAATAAACATTTGTGGATATTCTCAAATTCCTAGTTCCTCTTTGCTTCTCCTCTCCTCCTGATTTCCTTCGCGCTTTGCCATGGCATTTTTGTTATTTTTGGTTCATCTTAGGCTGACACGTGCATGACACACTCTTGCAAAATCTCACCGAAATGAGAAAAATTTAGGTAATGACATATAACTACGTTATTCGGGCCAAGCTTTGTCCAAAAGTATGAGGTTTCTTGTATTTTTGTTTTCTCCGAACTTCATGTCGGTCCACTGAACTCTATGATGATTTCACTAAATGTGAGAACTACTTCAGTTCGTTTTCTATATCTAAAAAAAGGCTAATATCTATGTACAAATAAGAGTACTAGGGTCAAATATATCACTTTAAAGTTAAATATCATTTTAAAAAAGAAGACTAATATACACCAATAAATCGGTCACATATTTTAATATAGCCATAAAATTCAAAAACACTAAACGGGTAATACATCGTATATGACTTACAGTTTAGTTTTTTTTTTTTATCATTATGTAATTTTATATTGAAGAATTCGTGTTACATTGTAGTTATATTTTTAATAAACAAAAAATGATATATCTTCATATATTTTAGTTGGCATGTCCATTGTTTTGAATTGAGATTTATCATCTTTTTCTGTCCTTTCCAAAATATTTCCGAAATTTATGTGATCTTTTGTGGAGGGCATATTCCGTACATTCTGCAGAATGAGTAATTTGTAGGACTTTTCTTCCAATATATTAATTAGAAAAAATGGTACCTAATAGCAATATACCTTGCCGTGTGGAAGGTTAGATGCATTGATGTTTTGACTCCAGATAGAGCCTTCCTTCCTTGGCATAGGGGGCACGGTGGCGGTCTGTGTGCTGCGTGTAAATGAAGCAATTTGACAGACCTACAAAAGTGCTTTTACGAAAAGTTCTTTTATACAAGAACATTTTTATATATTGATTTTTGATTAATTTACTTAAGGAACACGGTTTTATTGGTCAAAGCTCATGATTTTGTTGTTGATAGGGTTGTTCTTTCAGCTTCATCGTACATAATTATATATGTTCATATTGTTGAAATCGAGATTTGACTTCATTTGAAGGCTTCTTCGGAGTACCACCGTTTTAGTGGTGACAAAGTTAATTAATCTGTTTGTTGTTTTGGTACAAGCAATTATTTCAGTACTTGGTTTGTATTGTCCATGGAAACGTAGCAAACTCAGTGGCTGTTTTATTTCAATTCAATAAGGAGATAATATGTGAGTGAAGTAACAAATCATGTAAGGATTTATAAGAGGTTAGTTATTTTTTATTTTGTCCAATGGTTTTATGGTAAAATCTCAACTTTTTTCATGGTATCAGAACAAGTTTGTCACTTGTGAAGGTTAAAGGCTACAAGTGCTTTACGTCACCTGTTTATGTTGTCCACGTGTTAGGCTTGAAAATTCGTTACACGTGATGTGGGTATGTGAAAATATGAGGACAAAGTCCCACATCGATGAGGGACCAAACCATGCAAGCGCCTACAATTAAGGGGTCCCACATTGGTGAGGGACCAAACCATGCATGGTTCACGTGTGGCGAATTTTCAAACTTTACACGTGGACAACACAAATTGAAAGACGTGGAGCACGTGTGGCTATTAGGCTTCACGTGTAGGGCAACCTGTTCTAATACCACCAAGAAAGTTGGGGGTTACACCATAAATCAATTGGCACTATAAAATGGAGCACAACCTCTTATAAGTTCTTGCATGATAGAATCTCAACTTTATAATCAATCATTTCGGACAAGAAGCAATAAATTATACAACCGCAATTTTTGACAGAAACGGTATTAGAGCTTCATTCAAAAACCAAAAGGAAGCGATTACGAAACAGGCCATCAAGCCAAACGGCGAAGCCTGTTAGAAAGCAATAAGGATCCCTATCATAAATTAAGGGCCTAGAATAGGCATGTAATCAGTTATTAATATGTATATATTTCCTTCCTTTCCCGTATAGTAGTATTGCAGGATCAGTTACTTGTTTATAGGGAACTCTCTGTATAAAGTTAGTAGACTAATATCAATACCATTATTCTGGCCAATTCTATTCCTCAGTCATTTGATTAGATTTTAGTTTTACAAAGCCCAAGTCAATTACCAACCGGAATAGCTGAAGACAAAAGAGAGAGACATAAGGCAATACACAACCAGAAATCACGTTATCATACTTGTCACTTTAATACGAAGATAGCCAATCCCATCCTTAACTCTCCAGAAGTACTCTTAATCGAGGATATATCCCGTTGTATATAATAATGTGTCGTAACCCTAAAGGAACACCAAAAGCTTACAATATGCAAAAATTGGAACAGCAATATGGCACCCTATAGTTCAAGGAGTAATCTAGCTAGATACATCCATGGCATAAGAGCTTAGAAATTGGCTGTGGATGTTGAGGCATATGATGCAACGAAGAGCAAGAAGAACAGCAGAGAAAATGCCAACTTGTTAGTATTTGCATCTGAAGACCCCACGTCTGTTGATGGCGAAGGAGAAGCTGCTGGAGCGGAAGACCCTGCAAACTCATGATTAAAAGTCAACCAATAAAGTTTCCTAAACCCTGGACAAGCACGAAGATTTATCATCTTGCACTCCTGTGTTATAGAAACATAAACCAGAATAAAAATGTTATTTAGATGCATGAAAATGAAAACACTGCTGACACATTTTTTTTAATAGAACCATACGAGGAATGTGGCCGGTTTTGTGTGTCTAAATTGAAGTACTCAAAAGAAAAATGACATTCAAGGGAGTGCAAAATGATTTTTTTTTTCTTCTATCGACAATAACACTTCATTCTATATACCGTTGCAGCGGCTAACCGGCGGAGTTTGGACATTGCAGGCAGAGGGGAGAGCCAAGGCCTGAGTCTGATTGATGGTCACACCAAGTGAAGAAGCACCTCCATTGAGAACCTCACAGAGGCACTGTGGCTGAGAGCTGACTACATTGGCAAACTGTGAGCAACATGAGGAAGATGGGGATGATGAGTTTCCTGTTACATAATCAAGGCATGGGGACATGCTAATTATCACATTGGTGCAACTTGAAGATTGAGCAACAACTCTGCCTCCTTCCCACAAAGCCATAAAAAAGATCAAAGTTAGCACCATTAATTCATTAATCCTCCTCCTAAATGCCATTTGCAAGTGAAATTAAGTAAATACTTCTGTGAAATTTGAGAAAATAAAGAGGGGTTTCGATGGTGAGTTTATCTGGGTTTAGTGTAAGAAGGGGGTTTTGGGATTTGTATGTATAAAGGGGGAGATTGTGAAGTAAAGAGAGGCAGCTGGGTTTTCTTTGGTCACCAACTTTCCTACTTTGTAACAGGTTTTATTATTAGTTAACCTAAAAATTTAGGAGGGGTTATTTATAACTCTGGTCTATAGTAGTATTATTTTTCTCCATAAGTGAGAGGCTTTAAGTTCAACTGTCGCAAATGATGAACTCGTTATCAATTTATTGACTAGCATATTGTGTGACTTAACTTCCATAGCCCAAAATAAGTGTAAATATCAACTTCGTTCGTGTATATATATCATTGTTTTAAAACAAATAAAAAAAATTTAAGATTGGGACTATGATAATTTAATTAATAGAGTTACCTAGTCCAATGTTTCTTTTCACCATTTTGATTTAGCTTTTATAATATTTTAAAGCATGTCTAATTATTTTATCAGCCAACAGAGGATCCTTAGGATCCGTGAATCTTGTCCGTTCATCGTACATTGTACGGTTAGTTTTTGTCAAGTACTGTTTATGTTTATTTTTAAATAAAAATATTTAAAATGATTTTTAACTGTACGATATACGATGAATGGACATGATTTATGAATCCCTGGGATCCTCACAAAGAGGATCCGGCAAAAATCCGAACTCTTTTATCAGATCATTCGTGTACGTTGCTTAGCTTTGTTTTTTTTCTTTGACTATATGTATGTGGGGGTAAGGACGATGGGACACACGTCTTTTACACACATTTTGTAGGGTTTGTTTTGAAATGTGGTTCAACGATCTGAACCGTTTATATTTTAATTCATCTTTCATAGATAATTATTGTAAAAAAAAAAAATCTAAACAAATCTAAGATCATTAAGCCATTCATGTTTAGTAAAAAAAATAGACCAGTATGATTTTACACAAAAACAATAAATTTAGTCCAACGAACATACGGCTTCGGATTTAAGTGATTTTGGTAGATGTCATATTTGAGAGAATACCTAATAAATAGATGATTAGATCATTAAAATACATAATGTAGTAAGTCTCATAAAAAAGTGTATAAAAAATGTGTCTCTGGATAACCCATGTGTATGATGCTTAATGCGACCGTCCAGTGAAGGCAGGCCAACCACCCTGATTAAGTTTGGTGTGCTCTGGGATTATGTGGCCTCCTAAAGCTCAAAGTCGACGACGGCAAGAAGAATAAGAAAAGGAGGGGCGGTTGTGGCGAAAAACTACTTCTCATGGGATATTCGAAAGTTTAGAAAACTCACATTTAAACCTGCACATCGTTGTTTGATGAAATGAGAGGAGGCAAAAAAAGCCAATGGATTTCATTTTCCATGAAAGCAAAGAACCTGTGCAGATGCTAACTGGACCAAGGGAATAGCATCTTATATATTATTTGATTGAGAAAACATAAGACTTTGTTGAATCCGCACATAAATAGTTATCTTCTAGAACATCATATCATTTTAAATGGCCCAAATGGGTGACCAAAATCAAAGCTTTGGTCCCTGAAGAGGGTTGGGATTTATTGCGTAGAGAATCGAAGTTCAACAAATTAAAATTGAGTAGCGTTAAATCAACTAGTTATCTAACATTATTAGTGATCCAATACTTTGTGTGTGGTTACACTTTTTAATTTCGAATTTTCATTTTTCATTTTTCAGTTTTTTTACTACAAAAAGGTATTCTAAATTATTCTGGTCTATATATGTAGAACGTAATTTTGTAGCCTTTATTTGCAATCTTCAAATAAAAAATTCATTATCAAATGTTAAAAGTACAAACAAATGATATAAAGAGAAACACAAACTACAAGTACGAATAGGGATCTCCTTCTCTCAGACCATCTTCAAGATGACAATTCATCTCAAGACTGTCATCCAAGTCCATCACCAAGTCAAGATGGTAGATATCATTATTACATTTATGAGTTTTCGATTGTATTAAGTTTATGTGATTTATTAATTGCCTTTTTTTTTTTTTTTTTTTTTAAAGTTTATGCGGTTTATTAATTGTCATTTGTATTAAGTTTATGTGATTTATTAAATGTCGTTTGTATTAAGTTTATGTGGTTTATCATGATTTTCATGTATTGCTTTAGTGATTTTTCAAAATTTATCAGAATTTAAATATTTTGAGGTTAAAATGTTCATATAATTAATTTAGGATAGTCTACATAATTTTTTTTTCTTCTAAAAGTTAATTTAAAAAAAATTAGCCTTAATTCATTCTTTGATAATCTCGGGCTAAAATTTTAGGCCAGAATAGTTGGAGCAGAAAAACTGTTTTTGGGCTAAAACCTAAATTTTCTGGGCTAAATATTTTTAGGTTTTAGGTCACCATTGGAGATGGTCTAAGATTCAAGAGAGAAAAATTAAAATGCTTGTCTCTAAGAAGAGCACTAATAAAATGAAATCAAGGTTCTAAAAAATGCTAGGCGGGCGCCTAGGCTGGTTTTAGTAAATCTATTATATTTCATGTAAATAAGTGTCTGTTAAAATATATATAATTTTCTTATAAACTACAAAATAGAATACCATATATATTAGGAAGTATTGGAATATAATGAAAACATGGGGAACATGCATATAATGTGTATTTATTTAAGTATTCAACAAGTCTTTTACAATTTATTGAAAAAAATAAAATGCAAAATGAAAGTTATCTATTTTCTGTCTAAGTAAGTTGCAATCTAGACGGGTGCCTCAGCAGGTCTAGGCGCATTTTCTTAATTTTCAAATGCATAGGCATTAATCGAAGTGGTGACCAACCGTCTAGCACCTAGGTAGGGATTTTTAGAAGAGTGAATGAAATGAAAAGAAAAGAAAATGTAGTGAAACATTGGAGAACTAGATCGCATGCTCCAAACCTCTGCAGGGAAGAAGACTCAAAATTTGGAGAGAGAAGAAGCACATGACATAACAAAAAAGAGGAAGAGCACAAAGTGAAGAGGTGCTCTGCTGGTGCTTCCGTTGGATGTGTTACCGTTTGAGGATGGGACTGTTTTTGAACCTCCTCCTGCATTAATACATGTCATGTTAGTATTTCAGGTCTAAGTTGACAATGTGACAATATAACATGTTAGACTATTTGAGAAGACAACATTTCACTATGCATGTCACTGTAGTTGATATGGAATAATATCTTATACCTGAAGATGAAGGAATGTCCGAGGCTGATGGCGAAATGGATGCTGTTGTGCCTTGGCCCGTTCGTTAGTGCGGAACCGAGATTCAGATTACAACCTCACCAAAATCACACACAGTTGAACAAAATAAAATACAAGAAATAAAGACACCGAGAAATTTACGAGGTTCGGCAAAAACCTGCCTATGTCCTCGGAGAGATATTGCTCTTCACTATGAGAAAAACAGTACAAGTTACACATGAGTTAAATTGACATAACCCAATCCCATAACCCTTGTACACCCACTCACAGAATTTTCCCAAGAGCCTCACTCTACCCCAAGAGTTCTTTCACAAGAGATCTTCCACTCTAGCTCTCTTGATTTCTCTCACCCATGCCCATGGTAGAGCCAAATGCTCACACCATCTCTTTTGGATGCTTTCCTTCTCTCATCCATATCCTTGTTTTGCCAAATGCTCTCTTTTTATGCTTTTCTTCATCCAAGCCTTCTCCCACAAAACATGACTTTGAAAAAGCCACAAAACATGGCTTTGAAAAAAACCACAAAACATGGCTTTGAAAAAGCCACAAAACATGGAGCAATTTAAGCCACAAAACAAGGAAACATTTGGCCATTATCCAACAATCTCCACCTTGGCCAAATTGTACCAAAGTCCATTGGCCTTACGTACCAGCATGCACACTCTGAATCAACCTCGTTGGTCCTGTTCCGATTCAGTTTCTGCCAATGCATGTGCAGCTGCTGCAAGCTAAAAATCACCATTTAGCTTCAGACAGGATCTCAACACATCCTCGTCTCCTCCAGCAGGTTTTCCTCCCCTTCATTGTCTGCAACCTGGAAACTCGTCAGCGCGCCTATTTCCAGCAACAACCCATCGAGCCAGACAAAATTCCCACACTTCCTCCTACCTCAGGACCTTCTCATCACCTGTGAATCCCATAGCTCCACCTGCTGCAAAACCCCTGCAACACTTGAGACTAAACATCACCAGGAGAAGTGTTGCTTCGAGTACCTAGAGGGCATACTCAAAGTCTTTCACCACAAACTTGCTAACCCGGCCTTGCACCCGTAGCACTGTGGACCCTTGCCTCCGGAACCGGATCCGAACCTGCTGTCTCTCTTAGATCCTCTTTCCAATTTTCTTCCACGATTTCAACCTTGAATAGCTTAAGCAGTCTTGTGCCCACCATCATCCATGGTCTCTTGTGTGTATCATTCCACACCAAAGAAGCTTGCACCTGCTCCAAACTTACTGTTTCTTTCCTTGCAGTAAAGTTTCACAAGGTTCTCGTACAAATCTGAAAGTGAGGTAAGAAGGAAGAGGCCTTTGTCTTCTTCCTCAACATCAACTTTCGCAGTTGATCCAAGCATCCCTAAACACGGCTTCCATTTCTTCAGGCTTCCATTACTCTCCTTTACCAAGAGCAAAACCGCCTCTCTCTTTAAACTGCTCAACTGAAAATTCCATGGTGAACAACAAATCTGGACCTCCAACGAACCAAAGCCCCCAACGATGCTCTGATACCAATTGTTGTGCCTTGGCCCGTTCGTTAGTGCGGAACCGAGATTCAGATTACAACCTCACCAAAATCACACACAGTTGAACAAAATAAAATACAAGAAATAAAGACACCGAGAAATTTACGAGGTTCGGCAAAAACCTGCCTATGTCCTCGGAGAGATATTGCTCTTCACTATGAGAAAAACAGTACAAGTTACACATGAGTTAAATTGACATAACCCAATCCCATAACCCTTGTACACCCACTCACAGAATTTTCCCAAGAGCCTCACTCTACCCCAAGAGTTCTTTCACAAGAGATCTTCCACTCTAGCTCTCTTGATTTCTCTCACCCATGCCCATGGTAGAGCCAAATGCTCACACCATCTCTTTTGGATGCTTTCCTTCTCTCATCCATATCCTTGTTTTGCCAAATGCTCTCTTTTTATGCTTTTCTTCATCCAAGCCTTCTCCCACAAAACATGACTTTGAAAAAGCCACAAAACATGGCTTTGAAAAAAACCACAAAACATGGCTTTGAAAAAGCCACAAAACATGGAGCAATTTAAGCCACAAAACAAGGAAACATTTGGCCATTATCCAACAGATGCTTCAGGAGTAGAAGCTTCTGAAGGTGTTTCATTGGAGGAAGCTGCTGGCGAACTTGCTGGAGGAGTTGATGATGAAGTTGAAGGTCCATTGGCACCTGAAGAAGTTGAAGGTCCATTGGCACCTGCTTTAATCAAATCAGTTCCAACTTATTACTATAAAATACCTTATTGTAGGGTCAATTGTTGAGAATGAACACACACTGATGGGAGGAGAGACATTGCATGTGCTTATAAGTAATTGATCGTACTCTCCAATTACCAATTGATTTATGATAGAACCTCAGCTTTGTTCATCAATACCTGAATAATATAAGCTATTTTGGCACTCATGGTTTAACTTCTAACCCTTCAATTTGAATATTTTATATTTATTTATTATCTAGATTCATTGTCGACTGCAATGAGATAAACTGAAACTGCGAAAATCACTACTCTATGATAATTTCAACTTACCTTGACATCGGCTAGGGGGAGGAGTTTGCACTTTGCAAGCACCGGGCAATGACAAAGCAAGTGTTTGGTTTATGGTGATGCCCAATGAGCTTGCACCGTTGACCAAAGAGCAAAGGCACTGAGGTGATGACTGGACAACATTAGAGAGCTGTGAGCAGCAAGAAGATGAAGGGTTTGCTGAGCTTCCAGTAACGAAGTTGAGGCATGGAGCCAGGCTTGTGATTGTGCTGGTGCAGCTTAACTGAGCCATGGCTCCACTCAATAGCATGGACCCAAGGACCAGGGCTAGAACCATCTCAATTCCTTTGAATGCCATGGTCAAGTGGACTTGTTTGAAAATAATGAGGAGATGGACTTGGTGATTAAACTTTCAAAAGATGTGTAATTTGTATATTTGTGATTTGGGGTTTGAGTAAGGAAAGATAAGGGATGATATGGGATTTATATAGGGAACTTTCTTTTTGTAGAGACAATAAGATTGGTGTATTTGGGTGGCCAAACTTCAACTGACTTGGTGTTGTTGGCATCTAAAAAGAGCTTTTCAATAAATTAAGATAAGAAACTGTCATTATTTGAACCAATTATGCTCTAAAATCAGATTACCTACTTTAGATTTTGGACCCGCCTAGTAACTTGTGTGTCACCCTATATAATTGGGGTAATGATATTCACACACCCTTTTATTACCTTTCACATACTCTTGTTAATTTTTGTCTATTGATCTTCAATTCATTCGATCTGATGCCCGAAAATTAAGAGGTGTGTGTGAGAAGTAAAAATAAGTATGTAAATAGCATAATCCTACTTATAAGTGAATCAAATTTATGTAAGCAGAGCATCAAACATTTGGCAAATGGCTTGTAACTTGAGTTGTTAAAAGTACTAATTCCTACACTCAAAGCAGCTCAAGCTGTTAAATTAGTGTACCATTGCACCCAAGGTTCTCTATCCTCACTGTGTTAATGGATTTACATTAAGTAACCAAGTCAAAAGTTAACTACAAAAACTCCAATAGGGGTTTTCGATCACGTCATTTATTAAACGTCTTTTACAATGTTGTAAAATCCATTTATATTTTGGTCTCACCTAACCTTATACCTAGTCACACACACTACTTCTCACTATGTAGAACTATGCTATAATTAAAGGATTCGCCAAGTATATGAACAAATTAGTTAAAGTTGTTGAACTCCAAAACCCATTTCAAAACCACTCCTTTTTGTTTTTTCACTCAAAACCTCTCTATTTCGTCAGCTATATATAAACTATCTCCTCAACTTGAGCCAAACCCAACTAAGTTCTAAATCCCAGTTTTCAATTCCCAAAGCCTTTCATTGAAGACAAACTCATGGACTCATTCAAGGATTTTCGATTGAGTCTAATCCCAATTACCCTCCTTATCATTTCACTAAGATGGGTTAATGGGCAGATTAGTACACCATGCACAGCCTCAATGATAAGCAGCATCACTCCATGCGTAAATTTCATCACCGGGAGTACAAGCAGCGGCTCACCACAGACAGCCGGATGCTGCAATTCGTTAAAGTCAATAATGGGCACCGGCATGGACTGCGCTTGTCTTCTTATAACCGGCGGTGTCCCTTTCCAACTGCCCATTAACCAAACCCTTGCGCTTTCTCTTCCTCGAGTTTGTGGGATCGGAGCCGTCCCACTGCAATGCAAGGGTACGTACTCACATAATTTTAAGATTTTTCTAATAATGTGTTATATACTTTAAGTGACAAATTGACTTGTATAAGAAATCTAATTTTGCGATATTTCTTCTTAATTTGCAGCCTCTGGTAGTCCTTTACCTGCTCCAGGTATGTTAGAATTCATGTTATTCTAAGAACGTAAAAATTTAGGCCTTGTTAGGTGGTTGAGACAAGACACGACTAATCAATTAAAATGACCTATTTGTCGTGTCCCTTGTTTGGTTAACTTGTACATGTTAAGACTGGACTTATTAAATTCGGCAACAGTCCGACATTTGTGACTAACACATCCCATCTGGATCGGGTGAGACTCTATAGTCCAATCCCGGCCACCAAACGGGTCATTTCGCAATGTGCCAATTTGTTAACTAGTACTTGAACTGGCAGGTTCTGGGTTACTAGTGCCAACACCCGCACCAACAGCTTCTTCACCTCTAAGTCCAGGAGGTAATAATTATTGATTACTAGCTAATTTTTCTTTCAAATTGCAAAGAAAGTTTTAAGTCTCTTTCTGAAGGCTAATACTAACGTTAATCTATTGGAATTGATGGGCAGCTTCAATGGCGGTTGCAGCAGGTCCTGCACCAGAATCTGGAACATCTGATGATCTGCAGCCAGCATCTCCATCAGATGAACCAGAAGCTCCAACACAAAGTACCAAAGGAGTCGGAAGACCACAGCTGACCCCATCAGCATCTAGTTTAACCGATGTTCCCCCACCATCTTTCCTACTGATAATTTTGGGAATTATGGTTTTCAAGTCCTACTAATACCTCTCTAGCACATGCTTTTTGTATGGTTTATCACATCCACAACTAATAAGAGGATTGTTATAAGATCATTAATTTATACCGTCTTGATTGGAATGGTGTAGACTTGATAAACATTGTTAGCTTGGCTCATATTATGTTTAACTATTTGGGGCAAGCGATCATGTGTGGTAGCTAGTCAAACGATACGTACAATGGCGAATCCAGTATATCTTCCTCTTGGGATTAAGACGAAGTTCGGATGACATTTGAGGCATTTTTTCAATCACCTTGCCGTTCCATGCTTAAAGGAGAACATAAAAGGAAAATTAGACAATTTCATGTTCAACAGTGGTGAGGTGGACAACTGCAAAAACTCGCCCAACCAAGTATCAAGCCCTCGTGTATAATCAATTGTCTTAAATATTCCATACAATACCACGTATTCTTTTATATTAATTTTCCTGAAAAGTTGATGTCAATCCGCATTTAAAAATGGAGGAGAAAAAACTAGAGTGCAAAGAAAGAGGGGTTTTCTTGGTGAATTTTGTATAAGGCATTCGGACACCACTCCTAATCCCATGAAAGTGTGAGCTAGGATATGAGACAAACTGTCCTCACATCATCAACTCTCAACATGCCCTTGCACGTATGGTCAATTTTCAAGTCGATACATGAACAACAAATTGGGTGACGTGTGAGCACGTGTGACCCTTAGACTTTCACACAAGGGACAAGTGTGAGCACCTGTAGCCCTTGGGTTTTCAAACAAGGGATAAACTGGCTCTGATACCATGAAGAAAGTTGAGGTTCCACCACAAAACCAATTGACAATATGGGGAGTAGCTTAAGTCCTTATAAGCCTTTGCATGGTTTGGTCCCTCACTGATGTGGAACTTTGTGCTCATAACAAGAACAATATCAATCACTTGTATGTTATTGTCTAAAATAAGCTCTCAAATTCCTTATCAATTTATTTTCTCATCCATCTCCTCCTCCATCTACCCAACCAAGTCATGAAGAAACGTGTAAACATCGAGGAAATTAAAACAGAAAGCATCATAATGACAAATTAAAGATGATGACCAAGAAGCTTGTTGCGGTGTTTCTCATGTTCGTGGTTGTGTTAGAACCTTACTCTACACCTTCACAGATTGCACATAGAATATTCATATAAAACTCATATCATTCATAAACTGTCTTTCTTCTTGTACAAGCTACTATATGTCACAAACTCCTAATCCTTACTACCTTGACCGACTACTAATTGCTTATATCTACCATACATTTGTCAATCACAGATGATGCCATCTGGCATTCTAACAATACCCCCCCGTAAAACACAGGTTCATTAGAACAAAACATTAATAACGACTACAAGGAAAATAATACACAAGTAAAATTTGAATTCAAACCAATAACTAATGCCACCACTTCAAAAATTCACACTTCTGGAAATTTGTGTTTGAGATCCTGAAAAACTTCCCAAGTTGCATCATTTGTAGAATGATTCTGCCATTGCACCAACACTTCAGTGATTACTAAATTATTCTTTTTGACCATTCTGTGATCCAAAATGGCAACTGGTACATCTTGGAGGATACCGGCATTTGTAATTACAGGCAATTGTACTGTACTTTGAATTGTTGCACCTAATTGCTTCTTTAAACAAGATACATGGAAGACATGATGCAACTTTGAGTGATCATGCATCTTCAATTTATAAGCTATAGGCCCCACTTTAGCTAGCACAAGAAATTGACCATAAAATTGAGGTTGTAGCTTATGGAAAGGGTGGCATGTGTTGATATGGAACCAATATGAGATAAACCATATCACCAACTTCAAAAACTCTTTAAGACCTCTTTTTATCTGCTTGAACCTTCATTCTACATTGTGCAGCATGACTAAAAATTCATAAGAAAACCAAATGGCATAAGGCATTGAAAAGTGGCAAGGACATTTGTCAATCCAAATAGCTTCACTAAAAATTCATAATGTCCACCATGAGTACGAAATACAGTATTTTCAACATCATTTGGATGCATACGTATTTGATGGTACCCTGCCCTCAAATCTAACTTGGAGAAAAATTGAGCACCAAATAATTCATCTATCAAAGGGATAGGAAACTTATCTTTGATAGTAATCTGATTGAGGCCTCTGTAATCCATACACATGGGCCAAGTACCTTCCTTTTTTCTCACCAATATCACTGGAGAAGATCATGGACTGTTGCTCATCCTTATAAACCCAGCTTGTAACAATTCTACAACACATTTCTCAATCTTAGCCTTTTGAATATGACCATATCTATAAGGTCTACTGCCATGAATGAGTGGAATTATGTGGTCATGACTTCTATGAGGAGGTAATGACTATGGGATAAGAAGCACCATTTCATAATTATGCAGCAAGGTAAGTAACTGTTGTCGTTGCAACTCAGTGATATTTTGAACATCCTTACTACTATTCACCAATTGTTGTATCTTGTGAAAATAATTTCTGCATTTGTAAAGCAGAAATGTCTTGCAATTGTTCTTTAGGCAACCTTAGGCTAGTAATGTAATAAGTCTGAGAGTTGCTTGTGAACTGCATGTATAATTTGTCAAAATCCCACAATATAGGACCCAAAGTTCTCAACCATTGTACTCCAAGAACCACATCACACCCTCCCAAAGCCATAGCATATAAATCTGAAACACACACTTGAAATCTTGAAGTTTGATGGGAGCCTAATATAGAGTGCCTTGAGCAGCAACTTTTCCTCTATCTGCTGTCTTTACATTAAACACATGATTAGTATGCAATCATTCTTTCAATCTTTTCACCAGCCCCACATCTATGAAATTATGGGAGCTTCCAGAATTGATCACAATAGTAACAGGACAATTCCTAACATAGCCTGTAACCTTCATTGTTTGAATTGATGAAGGTGCAAGTGTACCAAATAATGCACAAGCTGTGATTTCAAGTTCTTCAATCTCTTCTTCCTCAGTAATACACAATTTAGTTTCTTGGACATTGATTAACAGTAGCTGTTTCCTCTCACAAATGTGACCCTTAACAAATTTTTACCCTTAACAAATTTTTCTTTACAATGAAAGCATAACCCAATTTTTTTCTACAATAATCCACTTCTTTAGGTGCTAACCTCCTAATGTTGTTTGGTCTAGGCTTGTTTTCTAACCCAAAATTGGAATTAACATTCTGTAAAGGAAATCGCACATTGGATTGAACATAGGGAGGTTTAGTGTTAGATTTCATCTTAAGATCAACAATTTTGACATCCAACTGATGAGCAAATGCAGAAGCTTCCATGACATCTTTTGGCTTCAACAACTTCACATCATGTCGCAATTCAGGGCGTAACCCTCCCACGAAGCATGATTTGAGCAATGCAGAACTGATGTCTCTTATACGATCTGTCAATTTTCTGAATTCAAACACATAGTCTTTGAGGGTACCCACTTAGCTCAATTTCACCAAGCTTTTTGCAAAATCTTCCAACTTCGAAGGACCAAATACTTGACATAATATTGTAGTGAAATAATCCTAATTGGGGTACTTTGTCAAACACCTCACCCACTGAAACCACTGCAAAGCTTAACTTTCTATGTGAAAGGAAGCTAATTTCACCTTCTTGGAGTCTTCAATGTTAAAGAACTCAAAATAGTGCTTTGCATTATATATCTAACCTAATGGATCATCTTCTTCATTGAATCTTGAAAATTCTAACTTCAAGAATGGAGATTGTGATTACTGATTGAAATTGGGACCAAAATCATGGTGATTGTAGGTATTGTTCATGCGAAATGGGCAAGGATTGTCACCCAGCGTTGCTTCTAATGATTCGCCCAAAGAACCCCCATTTCCTTGCTCCAAAGGTTCTGCAACTGCACCAAGATCAGCTCCTCAGTCGCTTTCACCTCATCTTGCGAAATCTTGAACTCCTCGATCTTAGTTTCCAAGCTCGAAACCCTGGACTCCATATTTTTAAGCGAAGCTTGTCGTGTCATACAATAGCGAAGGATTGAGAGGAACGAACTGGCGGATACCAATGTTAGAACCCTACTCTACGTCTTCACAGATTGCACAAAGAATACTCATATAAAACTCATATCATTCATAAACTGTCTTTCTTCTTGTACAAGCTACTATATGTAACAAACTCTCAATCCTAACTATCTTGACCGACTACTAATTGCTTATATCTACCATACATTTGTTAATCATAGATGATGCCATCTGGCATCCTAACAGGTTGTTCTTGCAGCACTCCACCTTTTCAAGACCGAGGCTTACGACGATGAATTCAAGAAATACAAGGAGTGGTTCGGCAACTGTTTGAAGGAATGTGAGACGGATAGCGCCAGCGGTCACTCTCTGTGAGATTAGGTGTGACACCTAATGTGGAAACAAAGAGAGTGTTGGTAAGTTTAAAAGTTATAGGAACATATTATCATATGGGGTAGCGTGTTAGGTTGTCATGTTGTCAGATAATGTTTATATCGTCAAATCATGAATTTAGATTACACGTTCAAGTGAGGAACAATTTGATAATTGTCTAGACTCAGTCTTATGACAACATAAGCATCTTATCTTGATGACAACCAAGACTCAAGTGCTAGTGAGTATATTGGGGGATGATTTAGGACGAGCAGCAGATCTCTCCCTTTGTCGGGTGTAAATGGGAAAGTCATCCACGAAGGTTATGCATAAGACCTTTTCCTAAATGAAGATGAACAACGCCGAATTATAGTATTCAGTGACATTTTCCTCTTAAGGTTCAGCTTTTGAAATTAGTTTATATCAAATTTGCAATGTCCCTATTCAATGGTCATGTATGCTAAGATAAGATTCGCTAGACACATCCGAGCTCCCAAAATAAAGCATGAAATTTGCCACAAACTCGTAGCGACATGCATGTCCCTTCATCTTATGACTTCAAAATTACTACTTGACTGCAAGAATTAGTTCCTCAAACAAGTGTTTCCAAATAACCAGGTCTCACAACCGCATGGAGTTAAAATTTGTAATCTTCTCAAAATTAAATATACAAAAACAAAAAGGAAGGGCTGTCAAAGTAATGACACCACATCCCTCAACCACTGATCTTTATGAGGCACGTCTGGTCCCATAGACAAAAACTCTGCCTTGCATTTGCGCTTCACATGTTTTATTACTGCACATTTGCCAACCGAATAGAACATCTCTTTGCCAACAGCTTTAAAAACCAATCGCCGCGTTCTGACTTGATATATCCCGCGCATTCTTCATCCCAATGCCCTTGCTTCCAACATCAGTAGCATTCTTTCGTAACAACACGAGCTTTATAGTCCTTTCCGTACTCACCCCCGTGGTAACCAGCAAGATGACCACAGAACTTACAACCTATATCATATTTGCTGCTCACAGTAACGCCCGCTGGAACAAATCCCAGTACGGACAATTACCAGTGCCATGTGGTTACCTTCTGTACAGCAAATTTCAGAGCCAACATAAAATCCTTTGAATCCTTCTTCTTCTTCTTCTTCTTCTTCTTCTTTGTCATTGAGTTCCAGTTGAGTCAGTCGAGTCATTGAGTCTCGAACACCCTTTTGTAAATCTTCCTCCTCTTTGTTTGTTTCTCTTTAGATATATTCCTCTTTGTCTGTTAATTTATTTGAAGTTCAACAGTCAGAATACTCGCAAACCATGAGGTTAATGATAAGAGAGCATCGATGCGCCATAAACTAGCATAATGATTGTATGTCTTCTGTATATCTAATTTCTAGTTGCTGTTTGACGGTCTCTGATCACAATCAAACTGCATCTGATAGTGATGTATACATGGTTGAATATTAATTTGGCCATAGAAGCGCTGTAAAATTTAAATGTTTTTATGGGCCATAGAAGCGCTGTAAGGCACTTAACACAGCGCTGCTGAGACGACAAATTCCTAGTAGAATGCGTAAGCAAACATAAAACTAAAGGCCCCTTTACTTTTCGTTCTCTAATTCGAAGCATTGCAACAGAAAAAGCACTACTTCAAGTTCAAGAATAATCTGTTAGGATGTTTATATCTTCTGTCATTATTCCTTGTCTATTTTCGATCTTATTTCTCCTTCGATTCGATTCAAATTGATTCGATTAATTCAACTCAATCAATTGAATTCGAATCGATTCAATTCAATTTAATTCATTATAACTTTGTTATTTTGTCAGTATAGCAAATAATCCAGTCCAGGGAAAAAATAAAAATTATCTAGAAGCAATTGAATAGAATTTCAATGCTGAAATAGCCAATTGCAAATTCCAGATCACCTTCCCCATCACAGATAAACCCTAAGACAAAATTAAAAAAATGCATACCTTTAGTATTCTGGATATCGTGGTCGTTGTCCTCACGGTCGTCGAACGGTTTGAACTTCGCCAGTTCCGCCGCATGCCACCCCTTGACGGATCCGGATCCTGATCCTGATCCGATAGGATATCGGAATTCCAACATGGCTTTGTTTGAGAAGGAGGATACAGGAGAAAGATAGGGAGAGCGAGACAAAGAAAATGCAGGAGTTAGGGTTAGGCGTTTCTCTCTCTGTTATCCTCCTTTCTCCACACGTGTAAGTAGAGATTAAGTCCTAAGATGAGCGTGTGTTCTGTGAGGGGAGAGGCCACTAAATATACATATATAGTCTTTACCAAATCAGATAGGATTCCATTAAAATCCATATAGGAAACTAAAAATCTTGTTTCCTTGTTCCATAAGAAACTGATCTCATTGCTGTGCAAAAACCTTCCTTTAGTAAGGACTAGCATTCCTCTTATTAATAAGACTTTACTATTAAACCTATAGCCGGTCCCTAAAACTTCTCTATCTCATACTTATAGTCCAATAGATCTCCTCTTTGAGTAGAAGTGGCATGAAACTAACACGGCCGTCAATTACCTTCTCCTCAAACTTTGCAAGATACTAACACGATCTTGAATGAATATATGATGAAATGATTTTTGAAAAACAATCAATCAAGAAAACCACAAGGCACATTTTCATAAGTGATTTCTAGTTAAAGCACAATGAAAAGTCAGTGATCAAAATAAAATTGGACTTTTGAAACCACATGAATAACAAACTGATTTTTCTGAAATGAAAATTTTAAGTAGGATTCGGAAATTTCACGCAAGGCCCCAAGAGGATTGAAGGCCTCAACGTTCTATACAGTCATGCAATTTCATGCTAATTCTATTTATATTACAAGTTTTAATTAATTACGATGCTAGGCCAAGTAAGGAAATATATTACGACACACCAAGAGGTAATAATTATTGATTACTACCTAATTTTTCTTTTAAATTTCAACAAAAGTTTTTTGTCTTCTTTTATCTGAAGGCTAATATGAATGTTAATATATTGGAATCGATGGGCAGCTTAAAAGGGGGTCGCACCAGGTCCTGCACCAGAATCTGGAACATCTGATGGTCTGCAGCCAGCATCTCCGTCTGATGAATCAGAAGCTCCAACAAAAAGTGATAAAATATGAACCTTACATATTTGCTTGATGAAACAATTACAAGATGAATTGCTTGATGAAACAATTACAAGATGAAACATATATATAGGGAAGAAAAAGAACACAAACCTAATTTTGCCTAACTTACCTAACTTGCTTGACTAACCTAACTTGCCTAACTTTGAACAAGAAAATTGACTAGCCTACCATTATTCCAACATGTTTATTTCATGCATTTTAACACTCCCCCTCAAGTTGGAGTGTGAATGTCGATGACACCCAACTTGCTAATTAAGACCTCAAATTGTGCCGAGCTTAGTGGTTTGGTGAACAATTCTGCAGGTTGATTCGAGGTCCGTTTGTAAGCTGTTTGAATGACGGTTGACATTGTGAGCTAAATGAGGATTTTGTGTTGACGACAAGTAATAGAGCCCATTATATCGCTTGTCCAGGCCAATCGCTGTCCTGTGGCGTTTGCAAAATGGTGAGGATTACCATCCAAGTTGTTTTTCCTTGAGCATGGCCATGATTTGGTTGTACTCTTCAGGAGTGAATTTGGGGCTGTCACCGTTGGTTTCATGACGGTGCTGATCCGTGACTGTGGCGACTTCACTGCTAGTCTTTGTTTGATTAGCCGCAGGTTTCTTCTTGTTAGGAAGAATCGTCTTTTTTTTTTTGCCATGGTATTTGTGCCCCGGTGGAAAACCATTGAGATAGAAATACCGATCTCCGGTATGATATTTTTTATCACAATATGAGCATTTAATAGAGGAGTTACCTCGTTGTGCAGCCTATGGCTTGTCAAATGCATCACATGCAAACTGTTGTTATGACGAGTGAGAGATACCTCCACTTGTTTCTCTTGTTGTAAAACAAGAGAGTACACCTTTAGTTTGGTGTAGTAGACTGAGATCGATTGTTGCTCCTGTCTGTGCTCAACAATTTCTCTCTTAATTTGGTAAACACGTGAATCGTTCCCTTGAGAGAAACGATCACGCAAGTCAGCCCACACATCAGTTGCTGAAGTGTAGTAGGAAACGCTGCTTGCAATGTCTTCATGTACAGAATTCAGGATCCATGCGAGAATCATGTCATTGCATCGTTGCCACAATGCAAATTGTTTATCTGTTTCAGCAGGTGGGTCAATGGTTCCATCGACCAAACCTAGCTTGTTCGCTTTGTGCTCAACGCATGGCTCCGTGTGTTGTAGTTGTCTCCTTGAAGGGTTTTGGAGACCAAGTTGTTGCAGCGATTCCATTGCTGCAGTTCCTCAAAATTGTCCTCACTTGGTTTGTTGATCGTCCCGTCAACAAAACCAAGTTTGTTCTTGACCGTTAAGGCCATACTCATGGATTAAACCCATGTGTTGTAGTTGTCTTCCACCAATGGTTGTGGTACGAGGATTGCACCAAGTTGATCCGAGTGGTGGAGATAGAGCGGGTGGTTGGGACTTTCCCATTTTGAATGAGAGGCCATGCCTAGAATGGTTGACCTTGTGGAAGATTGCACCAGCAATAATCTCAAGAAATCTTTTCTGATGTGGAAGATCAGTCAAAACTGCAACCACAGAGCATACTTGAAATTTCAAGAGACTTTACAACCAATGCTCTACCAAGATGTTCCCAGGTTGATCAGAGGGGTGTAATAAAAACGGGTTCGAAAGATCAGTAGCCATCTCTAATGGTTTTGTGTTGGTTCCTGAATCACTCATGATGACGATGTTGTTGGTTGTGGTGCGGAAGCGTTGAAGATAGGTGGGGTATTCAGAGTCACCAGAAACGGTGCTCTGATACCATGATAAAATATGAACCTTACATATTTGCTTGATGAAACAATTACAAGATGAATTGCTTGATGAAACAATTACAAGATGAAACATATATATAGGGAAGAAAAAGAACACAAACCTAATTTTGCCTAACTTACCTAACTTGCTTGACTAACCTAACTTGCCTAACTTTGAACAAGAAAATTGACTAGCCTACCATTATTCCAACATGTTTATTTCATGCATTTTAACAAAAAGTACCCAAAGAACGGGACGACCATAGCTGACCCCATCAGCATCTTGTTTATCTTATGTTTCCCCACCATCTTTCCTACAGATAGTTTTGGGAATTATGGTTTTCTAGTTCTACTAATACCTCTCTAGCATATGCTTTCTGTATGGTTTATCAAATGCACATCTAGTAAGAAGACTGTTATAAGATCATTAATTTATAACGTCTTGATTGGGATGATATAAGCTTGATAAACATTGTTAGCTTCGTTCATTTTATGTTTAACTATTTGTGGCTAGTGATTGTCTATGTGATAGCTAATCAAATACTACGTACAATGGCGAATCCATTATATTGTGTGAAGTAATTTTTTTCTTTCTCTATTAATGATTTTTTTCTTTAAATTAATGTCTGGCCATTAAATGTAGGGGTAAAAATGTAATCCAATTATAATTATTAGGGAGCTTTAATAAAAAGGGCTTGGGTCAACAAATATTTAACAAAAAATCATCCTAAAATGTTATTTAACCAAAAGGGCTCAAAGTTTAATAAAAAGACCATCCAAAACAATTGTCGACCTTTTTCGTGCTCTTATCCTCATCTTCCTCGTCATCGTCCTCATCCTTATCCTCTTATATGCACCACGAACAATTTATAGTGTTAGTATTTTATTCCAATAAAATCCAATAAGGACCTACAGTCTCGGTGATGTATGTACATATTAGGTGTCTGTAAATAGGAAAAAAAAAAAAAAAAGAAACAAAACATAAAACCGTTTCTAAAGAACCCAAAAATAACACTGTTTATGGAAAAAAAAAAAAAAATCAGATACAGTGTTTGTTTTTTCTATGCACAAATAAACACTGTATCTGGAAAGAAAATAACCAAAATCCAGAAACAGTGGCTTAAATTCCAAAAACAGTGACTTAGATTCCAAAAACAGTGACTTAGATTTCAAAAACAGTCTATGTATTAACATTTGATTGTTTCTTTATTTCATGCATCAGTTGATTATATTTAAGAAACATGATGCTTATTTTGCTTTGAATCCAAATTTCACTATTTCTTTTCCAACTTACACTTAAGAAACAATGTCTATTTCATTTGGATCCAGAAACAGTGACTTAGATTTCAGAAACAATAACTTAGATTCCAAAAATAGTGACTTAGATTCCAAAAACAGTGTAACTTAAAATCCAGAAACAGTTTATTTTTATAGTCCAGAAATAGTGACCCGTTGCTATTATTGAATAACATGCAGATCTCAAATTTATTTTCTGGAGAAACAAACGATGAACTCCACTAACGAAGAAAAATTGAAAAACAATACCTCGAATACTTTATGAATAATAACAAGGATCACGTTTCAACGAAATAATACAAAATATAAATTAAATAGCATGAGGATCTATATTTTTGTTTCAAGGAAAAAGAAGAAGGTCTGCAAAACAACGATGAACTCCATTAACGACAAAAATCTGGAACTCAACCTAAAAAAGTTAGGGGTAAAATCGACAAATCATAATTTATTATAGTTAGGTCATTTTTAGTTGGACTGCTTTAATATGGGCCTTGTACTAATCATTAAACAAAACTTATAACATGGTTTTTTTATTAAAATTAAAACTTTTCAAGCTATTTTCATTAATTTTTCTTAATTATTAATGATTATTTTCTCCGTTCATACATGCCCACTTGTAAATTGTAATGGAACCCTGGTATAATTATGTTCTTCATTAATCAAATTTCTTCATGAATAAATCAAGGAGATATGTGGAAAGTGGATTGTATCTTGGTTAATAAATTTTTTTTCAACCACTTAGTACTATAATTCAAAATAGTTTTATCGCTTGTAATAAAAATTCAAAGAAATAATCTAAACGCTCGAAGAATAAAATCAGAAATAGCAAAAACGGAGATGAAAGATGGATATTATTTCTCATATTATCCAAAGCATCTCCTATTTATTATTTTATTTCTCCTCATTGATATTCCGTGAAGGAACGTTCACAATACAAAATAAAAGAAAAACCCTGCTCATCAGCAATTAATCATGCATGTGCAAAAAATTTCACCAGACACGCCGGGGGCTTTTCGCATTTCGACGTGCTTCTCGGGTCTTGCAACCAACATTTCTCTTCACATTTCTAGTCATACCCTGTATTATTGCAGCGATAATCCCCTATCGCCACTCTGCATTTCTTGGCATCAGTAGTAGCTGCACATATGACAAGTTAAGAGTTTAATAAAATCAGTCCA